CCCCTCCCCTCCCAGCTCTGCTCACTAGGTCCCAGATTCCTCCTACCTTCTCAGCTCTGCTCACCAGGTCAAATCCCGAACAACCCCCCCTCCCTGCCCCAGTTCTACTCACCAGGTCCCAGATCTCCCCCCACCCAGCTCTGCTCACCAGGTACCCTGAGCACCTCCATCCACAGGAGGAACCCCACTGGCCAGGAAGGGAGCAGTGCCCCCCCCCAAACTCATCACCACAGCACCCCACCAGGCCCTCGTTTCAGGCCTGAGCACCTCCGAGCCCCAGGTGCCCCGTCCAGTGTTCCCTGCATGCGCCTGGCCTGTGCACGTCTGTGGCCTCTGCTCTCCGACCTTATTGGTGGGTGCTGGCTGGTTTCCTTGCCAGGGGTCTTCTGGGGCGACAATTCCTCTATATGCCCCTCTCCACTGACTCTGTCCTTCGTTTGCTGTGCACACTCCGTTCTTTCAAGGTGGTGGTGGTGATGGTGACAATGAGGAGACAGGCGACATTTAAGACCTGTAGCATGTGTTGGTAGGACACTAACCACTTAAGGGCACTGTGTCCTCTACTCTGTGTCACCCCACGAGGTCGGCCCAGCCGTCCTCACCTTCATTTGCCAGAGGCGTGGTAGGAGCAGTCAGGAGTGGCTTGGCCAAGGTCACATGGCCCAAGAGGAATCACGATTTGTTTGGGGGCCTCCCTGACTCCAGTGGCTGTGCTCTCAATCCACAAATGATATTTCTGTCCACCAGAGCTAGGATTTATGGTTCTCTTCCTGTCCCTTGGGGCAGTGATAGAACAGAAAGAGAGGTTCTTCTTTTCACAGGATACTTGCAGGGGGTAAAAGGTGCCTTCTGAGTCCTAAATGTCATCACATGTTCCTCGTGCCAGTGTTTAATAAATATGGACAGATATCGGCCTGCTTCATTCCACAAAGGACGGGGGCTCCAGTTCCCTGTTATTGTGAGAACTGACCTGAGGTAGCGTATTTGGAAGCCTCACTGATCATATTAACTTGTTTGCTGGCCTACACTTGAGGCCGCGTGTGTGTCTAGATACATGTACATGCACAGATATGCACATAATTTGACTGTGATAGATCCATATTGGTTTAAGAAATTCTTATACGCACCCCAACGCATGCCCCAAACATTATTTAATATTTGTTACACTTGTAGTGAGAGCATCTCCTACTTTTCAGAGTTTTATATCCTCTTTTCAAATGGAAGCTCCACGTCAGCTCCAGGAGGCAGGCCTTACAGAGATTACTGTCTCTATTTTTAAAATGAAGCAACAGAGTTTTAGTGAAGTAAAGTGACTTGCCAAAAGATTCACGGCCAGCAGAGGTGCAGTTGCAGTTCGGGTCCCCTGTAATGCAACTTTATTCTTCTGTTATATATCCTCCGAGTCAAAGCTATAGTAGTTGCTGATTTTGCTTTGTTGCTGATGCTTCCATTTCTTTTGTTGACAATGTGTGAGTAGGTGTCCCTGCCGCACCCAGACCCACCGTGACTGCCAGGCAGGTGGGAAGAAACCAGGAGCTTTTAGACAAGTATGCAGTAATGGGTGTGCACCCGTCACCTGGGGTCAGCTCAGATTTTCATTCAGTAGATCTGGGGTGGGGGACCGCTGTGTCTGCATTTCTAACAAGCCCCAGATGCTGTTGGTCGATTGCCCACACTGTGAATGGTAACGCTTTAGATAATCTGTGAAGTGAAAGATTGCAGAGACAAAAATGTGTGATGAGGAAAAAAATTTTGTTGTTCTGTTGTTTTTTTTTTTTTTTAAGATTTCTATTTTATTTATTTGACACGCAGAGAGAGAGCCAGAGAACACAAGTGTGGGGAGCAGTAGGGGGAGAGGGAGAAGCAGACTCCCCACAGAGCAGAGAGCCCCATGTGGGGCTGGATCCCAGGACCCTGGGATCATGACCTGAGCCAAAGGCAGATGCTTAACCAGCTGAGCCCCCCAGGCGCCCCTGTTCTGTTTTTATATGGGAAATGGTTAACCCAAGAAAGAGGCACTATAGTAATCTGGGCCCACCTCTATCCAGCCTCTTGATTCGAAACTTGTCATTATCTCCCCACCCCCACCAGTCACACAACACATGTGTTCCCGCTCCTGAATTTTCTTTTTCACTAGATGGGGTTGTACCCCTTGGGTACCACGAAGGAGAGCATCTAGTGAGTGCTCATCATACATTAAAAACATTTTTTAAAAATTGTGGTACAATCCATATAGCATAGAACTTACCGTCTTATCTGTTTTTAAGTGTACAGGTCAGTAGTACTGAGAACATTCACCGAGTTGTGCTAGTCATCTCCAGAACTTCTTCATCTTACAAAACTGAAACACTGTGCCCATCATACAACTCCCCGTCTTCCTTTTCCCCCAGCCGCTGAGAATTGCCATTCTGAGCATCCTCCTTCAAAGGCGCAATTATCTCAGAGAAATGTCCTACCTCCCATTCCTGTAGTTGCAGGGCGAAATAAAGGAGCACAAGATTTGGAGCTCCAAGAAGTGATGCCAGACCTAACCCTACCCTTCATCGCTCTGCTCATTAGGTTGTCTCCTAAACATTCTTAATTTTTCCAAGTGTTGGCATTTCTCTCCTATTTATCTCACAGTGTAAACGGTGTAGTCTGAAACTTTTGCGAACTCTAAAATGCTGCACAAATGTTAAGTTCTTACTGTGATTAGTGCCCAGAGCACAGGCTCTGAGAGACTAGCAGTTTTGACAAGGAGAATTGGACGGGCTGTCTGAGATGAGAAATTATTGAAGGGGGAGGATGATGCCCTGGTGAGGGGCAGGGTGGAAGGCCATGTCTATAGGTTTTGGGGGATAACCAGTGATATCTCTTTCCTCTATACCTGGGTTTAGAGAGAGAAAGATGTGGGCACCGGACAGACAGGATGATGTCACCTCTGCTGATGATAAAGCAGCCGGGAGTGAGTGCCTTAGGTGCGTGAGCAGCAGGTCTCACTAGTACTTCATCGCTGTACTCAACGCACTTGCTCTTTTGGTCACTGGTGAAGCTGGACAATTCGGGACTCTCCCGTGAAGACAGCCTCCTTTTACCTCGTTTCAGAAAACAAGCTTGGATACCAATGCAGATCCCAGAGTGAGGACTCAAAAGGAACTGAACCACACATGCCAGTTTCTCCTCCTAAATCTCTAGGGTAGAGGAATGAAGGGATAGGGAGAAAGGCCAGGAATGTTAGGGTATGCAGTTCCTCCCTATGAAATCATGAAGTTAAGCAAAGCTCATTTCCTACGCTGCCACCATCACGAACTCCTGGTCCAACCTCACCCCGATGCCAAGGGCCTGGAGAACATCAAGGGCCATGGAAAAATCATCCCCGGTGTTGACCTCTGCACAGAAAGGAGAAGGGACCTTATTTGCCTTTCTATCCCTTTATCCAAATGTTTTCTTACTTCCAGGACTTAGAACTTAATAGAAAAGAGTCAAATCTATATTTTAGATATAATATGCCTTGGGTATGTGCTTATTTGTAGGCTGGGATAAAAAATTAAAGACCCATTTTAAAAGTGTTTCTATGAAAACAACCAACTTATAAAATTGTGGAAATTAGCACCCTGGTAAATCGTATACTGCGAGATTTAATCAGTTATACAAATGGTTCTAAATAATCATAATGTCCAGTAGGATAAGCCAGCGGTGTTGTGGGTAGCTGCAGTGAAACCACGGAGGAGACTGTGTTAGTTGTGCTAGCCTCAGATCCAGAGTTGAACATATTATTGATGTTGTTTTGGGCTACCTGAGGTCAGTTTTTGAGTCTTGATCTAGTTCACGTTTATATGATCCATTTTCATTTTACTGTGAAGTTTCTATGGCTAAAACAAAAAAGGTCCACATATAACTTGAGTATGGGTCGTTGGTTAGTTTGCTGACTACACAAAATAGTCTCTGTGTCTGTTGAATTCAGTAAAATATTGGGTTTTTAAGTGGCTATGAACCAAATACATGTTTTGGCAGAATTTACTCTGTAGCCTCCCATTTGAATTGTGAACAGTTTCATCCAGTGGTTGCCTGTTCATATTTGTTTGTTTTTTAACTTCACTATAGATGAAGAAGTGATTTTGTTTTCTCAGAAAGCAGTTAGTAACAGCCGCTTCCTAGACATGGCTCTGTATCAGCGAGAACCACTCTCTCCCTCAAAGTGAAACCTTAAAGAAAAATGGTAGTTTAGATGCAATCAGGCACTGGAGCCAGAAAACATCGATAATTCTCTCCTTCTGAAAAATAAGCCAATTTCAAGTTGTTTAATTAGGCTATGTCTGTATCATTTATTGGTACTTCCCAGCAAAAATGAGAAGGCTTGGCCAATTTGCATGGAAAAAGAGCAGCTAAAATCATTTCCTACCCCAACGTCAATCAAATTTAAGCATAAATGGATCACCAGATGATATTGTTCTGGTTTTAGATAAAAATAAAAATAAAAGCCCTACACTGATTGGGTATATTGCTGTATTTTCTCTAAAGGGGAAAATATGTTGGAAAGCAAATCCAATTGGCTTATATCGCTCATCTGATAAATCCTATTCAATTTCAACTCAAATTTAGGGCAAACAATTCATTCTATTCAGAAGCAAAGGGGAAACCTGAAACTGTGTTCCCTTGTTGGGAAACATGCTGTGAGTGTCACAGTCTATCAGGCCAGAACCAAATTAGAAGACATTGACATTGTAATTGTGAACCATTTATTTGTCTAATGTTCAGACACCTCTACAGAGATGATAATAAACCTTGCTAAACCGCTACTAAAAACAGATCTCTCTGATAATATTTTCAATTTATGATTGAAATGACTTTTAATCAGATACCATTAAAAAAAACCCAGAATTCTATTCTTTGAAATAAGCAAAAAATTCTTAGCATTTCTTGAAATGATCTATTTTAAAAATCTGATTGTTTAGACTTTTGCTGTAATTCCTACATATAGTACCGTATTCATGACTAACTAACAAAAGTCTTCTTGTCAGCTTTCTGGAACGTATAATACTGATACAGTTCAAGCCATGGCCTTGGATGGCTGTTACCATGACAGCAAGACTGAAATGGACCAGACTTCCTCTTCTCTACACTCAGAAGAGGACTCAGTGCGAGAAAGATGCACAGGCAGCTCTAGCACAGATTCGTCTCAGATAAAGAGAACGCAGTCCTTAGGAGGGCATGTTGCTAGAGTAGTTCTGGAGAACAACCACGTCATTGACACCTACTCAAGGATTTTCTTCCCCATTGTGTGTATCATATTTAATTTGTTTTACTGGGGTATACATGTGTGAGGGGGAAGTCCCAAAGTATAATACTGGGTTTGGAATCAGATTATGTTAAAAACAGCAACAGCACCAAACAACCCTTGACTATCAGTTGGACGGTACTAGACTAAACTGGAAGTCAGCCAGTCACCTCTCCTGGCCCACAGAAGATTTAAAAGTTGACTGCTTTACATCTAGGGAAGAGTTTAAGGTCCCAGGAGAATTTGACTCCATACATAAGAGTCGCAGGCAAGCATATGACAGAAAAACGATTTCCATAGGGATGGGCTTGGTAACTACTTCCCTTGAACCCTCCTTGCTTTCTGAACCTAAACTTTTTGCATTTACCCAAGGAATAAAGCTCTGACAATAATTCAAGAAACATTTAGTCCTTAGTGCTAGTCAAGTGCCAGCTCACCTAACAGAGTGGGACCCTTACAAGGAAGAACACCAGCATCAGGGCGGCCCTGTGGACACTCGCAGCAGAGACGTGCAAGAAGAGCTTCCCCGTCTCTCTCCAACCAAGTCTATTCTTTTTCACTATTAGGTTCCACATCTTACTGAATCCAAGAGCAGAAAATCTAAACTTTGCTCCTATCCTAATGTTAAATTAATCCATCAATCTTCAATAATGGAATCTTGTATTTGTAGTTGAGTTAGAGCCTTTATAGCTTTTAAGAGACATTTAATTAATTAGTTACTATATTTATCAAATGTTTATTGACCTCCTACGTGTGCCAGGCGCTTTATTAGGTGTTATGTACTTAAAAAAATACAAAACGACATTCGTGCTGTCAGTGAACAGTGAACTGGTAGCTATCATAAATAATAAATGCAATAGAGGTAACAATAGGGGTTGTATACTGTGCTGTCTGCGTTCTGGAAAGGGGCTACCAAAAGGAAGAAAGAACATCCATGAAGGGATGTGGACTCTCAACTTATAAACAACTGAAGATGCTTCCAGACATGGCATTGAGTGAAAAATTGAATGAAATCTGTGTATCCCGGGATATCTGGGTGGCTCAGTGGTTGAGTGTCTGCCTTCAGCTCAGGGCGTGATCCTGGAGTCCCAGGATCAAGTCCCACGTTGGGCTCCCTGTGAAGAGCCTGCTTCTCCCTCTGCCTCTGCCTTCTCTCTGTGTCTCTCATGAGTAAATAAATAAACTCTTTAAAAAAAAAAAAAGAAAGAAAAGAAATCTGTGTATCCCATAGTAATCCTGTAGTAATGTGTTGAACCAAGTAAATCAGGTCAAGTGGGTATTAAATAAATGTTTGTTATGGAGAAAAACCTCCAATGATCAGCATTCATTTTGTAGACTGGCAGTGTGCATGCTTTTGTGTTAAGTATTTTGTGAAAAAGATTTCATTTAGAGACCAGCCCGCAATAAGAAGTATGAGATATTGCCCTTCCTATTTTGATTTCTGGCATTGAATTAAGGGAAATAAATTAAATGGTGTGTTACTTTCAGTGTATTGCCATTTATTTCACCATAAAATGAGTCAAAATGATTTCAATTACTTCGTGCCAGGTGGAGAAACAAGCAGCTTCCTGCTTATTTACCAATAACATTGATTTTGGTTCTCTGCTGTGAATGACATAGGGTTCTAGAAACTTCTTTTCCTCTTGGGTGCAAAAGGTTTAAAGGCAAATTCCATCTCTATCATAACTTTCCGCACTGGCAGGCTAATTCTGGGATACTTCATTCTATTTCCTTCACACAACTTCTGCAGCTATTTCAAAACTTTTTAAGGATTATGTTTTTCTAGGAAACTGTCCAAAATAGAGCTAATATAATTTAGTAAAACCCCTCTCCATCTAATTGTAGATAGACCATAAATATATTTTAAACGTATGTATTTAATAGTTTTTAAGCTTGACTTCAAAGGAATAGTCATTTCATAGGATTATATTTTCAAAATACAGAATAGACTAATATCCTAGATGGCTCTTTGGGAATTTGCAAGCTATTATTTAAGTAGAGTACTACAGTTGGATTAACACTTTTGACTCTGACATACCCGGTATATAACTGATGTTAAGAAAAAAAAAAAAAAGACATATCTACACATGAACAGGACATCATTCCCTACGTCTAACTCTCTGGTCTTCAGAACTGACTGTTTTTCTCTACTTGGAACTATACCATTCAGGATGTCCAAAGCTTCCCCTGGACATATTCACTTCACAATTTCAAATCAGATGTATCCCTGAATACATTTGGTGGTCTAGGCTAGAAGAATGGGTCTCCACCACACTACTCATATATCCAGCATTCCTCTTGAGGAGCGCGCTAATGCACAATTGTTGGCCAAACAAACGTAACTTTTGTTATCATCTAGAAATGGTCTTTGCATTCATTCTTCGGTCATAAATGTCTAAAATATGTTTGTCGCTCAAGAGAAGTACCAGAGCATTCAGAATGAGCCCCTGGGATTTCGGCCAATTTTCAGCTCACATCAGTGGCTTGTGAAGACTGTGAGGACATAACTGTTGCCGTGGACTTCATTTCTACCAGGGACCACCAAGGCTTCTGGTTCTGTTATTTCAGAAGGAATGAAATCACAGTTACCGGCAAAACGTATGAGTGACAGCGTGTGATAGTTACCTCGTTTTGATTTTCACTTCATTTACCGATCACAATCCAGAATGGACTGCGTGTGATTGTTCACTGAGTGATAAGCTTGGATAAAATGTGAGGATTTCAGAAAATAAGCTGCTTTTTAAGATTTAAGAAAAAGCAGCCAGCTCTCTAAACTGCCTAAGTATAGAAACAGGATATTTTATAGGGACTGCTCTGGAAAAATCTATGGAAAGATAAATTTTCAACTCAATTTTATTATTTTCTGATTACAAAAGAAATACAATTTCATTATAAAGATTAAAAATACTGGGGCGCCTGGGTGGCTCAGTTGGTTAAGCGTCTGCCTTTGGCTCACGTCACGATCCCAAGGGCCTGGGATTGAGCTCCCTGTCTGGCTCCCCAGCAGGGAGCTTGCTTCTCCCTCTCCCTCTCCTCCTGCTTTTCTCTCTCTCTTTTTCTCTGTGAAATAAATAAATACTTTGAAATAAACAAAAAATAAAAAAAAAACCAATTGGCAAAAAAATTCATTCAGAATTAAATTTAATGCATATTTCTAGAGTTTTTCAAGCATAACATATATTTTTCTAATGGAATGATTATGTATATACTTGCATTTATTAATTCAAACACTTATACTAAACACTCTTGGGGACACAGTAAAGATGGACACTCCCTATCTTAGTGAGTTTACATCCTAATTGGGAATGTGTCTAACTCATGCAATTTATAGTCAGATTTTCTTCTCTGGGTCATAAGCAACATTTTTTATGTTAAAATTTGTTTTTCATAAATAACTGTCTATGCCATTTTTGCCCTGCAAAATCATTTTTTATATGCTGCAGAGCAGGCCATGGAATTAGTTTACTTAACCCATCTCCTCTTGTGGGACATTTGCTTTATTTCCTATTGCACGTGATTATAATGGGCTGCAATTGGCACCATAAAGAATATTTAGAAGTAGAATTGTTTTAGAAACATACAATTTTTAGCTATATCCAAAGTTCAGCACTTATTTCCATTAGAAGAATTTCTACCTGCCACTAGAATTTGCCTTGTCAGACTCACTTACCTCTCCATTTATATGGACATATAACCATTGGCATTCCCTTGATAAAAGAAGTTTAGACATTGTATAAAATACCTATATTAATACGGTCCTATATTTTTTGAAATTCTGCTTCCTTCCGTGACTGTGATTGCCATCAGGAACCCTTTTTGTAGGTAGGAGAGTAACTGGGATCGCAAATATTTGCATATGATTTGCTACACAATCTTAATTTATGGTTACATTATCTTAATCCTTGCAGGTGGATTAGTTTTCATGAATAAGGTCTATCATTTTGTATTGTGCCTCTCATAAGCCTGTTCAAATCACACACACACACACACACACACACAATTTTTTAACATGGAGATTAATGAGGAAAGGAATTCTACAAATTCTATAGTCATTATTAAGGTCAAAATTCCAATCAGGTGAACAACACCCTCAAAGAAAAAAGAGAAAAAGGTGGTAAGGAAATTGCTATTTCAACTACAATTGTACACCTGGTGCTGCTGTTATTTCCTGGCAGGGCCTTAGGCAACACAGTGGATGTTTCCTTCCAACTACCTCATTTGTGGAATAGAGCCACCTATTCTTTCCTTGTAAACATTGCTTTAAAACAGTCAAACTGTAAAGTCCTGCTTCATTTTAAAGTCCTATCGCTTTCCAGTTGCCGTTTGACTTCCCTGAATTTAACAAAGAACTTGAACATTTTGTTTTCTCTTGTAAAGAAACTGTGAAAGACAAAATGCACTGGATAATTGAGATGATTTTATCAGGTTATTGCAATAGGAAGGATGTTTATTCATGAGGAACATCTTAAAATAAAGGAAGGTGGCCCAGAAATCCAAAAAAAGAGAAACAAGGGAGTCCTATTCAGAAGTGGAGTAGAGGTAGAGGTGGCTCTTCTCTCAGAATATATGACAGCAAAGTAGTCATTTCTCAGAAGACAGGATGGGGGGGCATGGGGTGGGCATAATTTTTGACCCTCGCTACTTTGCAGGAACACAGGGGCTTCAGATAAAGTTCAACACTGTCCCTTGTTTTTCCATTTCAATCTACTGCTGAATCATAATGTTTTCTGATCAATAATGGGGCCAAGGGTGGAAAAGAGATTTCAGTCAGTGAGAA